TGGCTCTGCCTAGGATTTCAATGGGGTTCCCGTTGAAGTCCACAAGTCTCGCCTTCGGGGTTTTCAGCTGGGTCCTTTTGTATGCCGGGTTCAGCTGCTGTAGGTGCTGCCAGTCCATGATGGAGTAGGCGGATCCAGAGTCTACCTCCATCTTGCATGGTGACCCCTCTGCTAGCAGCGTCACGTGGAACTTCGTGGTTCCCTCGTCGCTTGTGTGCGCAATGGTGGTGGTCTGGTGCACCGTTCTGTTGCGGGGATATTCCTCCTCCCCGCGCCGGGACTGGTTTGAGGACCGTTTGGATGTCCTCTGATTATCTTTGCGATTTTCCCGGAATCGTGGTCTGGGTGGTTCCGGGGCTGGATCTGTGGCTCTGCAGGCCTCTGCGATGTGGCCCCTCTTCAGGCATCGGCGGCAGGTCGCGTCCCTCCATCTGCAGTTTGCCCTGGGGTGGTCGCCTCTGCAGCTGCCGCATCGCTCTCCCCGGTCGCCATGCTGTGGGTTTTCCCGCCTGGGGGGGCGGGACACCTTGTGGACGGCCATTTCCTCATCAGACTCGGATTGAGTGGTTGCCTCGTCTGATGAGGTCGGGCCCGACTTGTGGATCTTATGGATCCCCCTTGCTTTTACCATCGCGGCGGCTGCTTGCTCAGACGTTTCAGCCGCCGTTGCCTCGTCGAGGACGTCTTTGAGAGGAATCCTCTTCCGGCTGAGGAACTTCTTCTGCAGCCCCACATCTCGCATTCCAAACACAATGCGGTCCCGGATGGCATTGTCCACATTGTCGAACTCGCAGTTGGCAGCGATTTGGCGAAGCGCTGCCACGAATTCCTTGATGGATTCACCTTCCCGCTGGTTTCTTTGCTGGAAGGTGAACCTGTTTGCGATGGGGGTGCCTGTAGGTGCATAGTGCTCCTGTAGGACTTCTTGCAGGTCGTTGCAGGACATCTCCTCGATGTCCCTGGGTGCCACGAGGTCAATCGCCATCTCCAGAACATCCGATCCGCAATGAGCCAGGAAAAGGGCTCTTTTTCTCTCCTCATCGAGGTTCTGGTATCCGTTGCCTCTCAGGAACTGCCGGAATCGGACCATGTATGACCTCCACTTCTCCCGGGATGGGTCGAACGGGTTCAGCGCGGTCATCGGGGCTTGCGGGGTAGCCATTCTGTAAGATCGCTGTGGTGTGGTGATTTTGTTCGGTGGGCAATCGTGCCAAGAGTCTTGTGAAGGTTCTTCTCTCTAGTCCTTCGTCGCCAGTGTTAGATCCAGCGCAGGGAAAAGAAGACTGGACCAGCTCGATACATTGATAACTTTATTAGGTACAAAGTAACGAGTCAAGACTGCTGGCGCGCTGCCGGAGCTCTCCTTATATTCGCTCCCGGCAGACGCACCGCCCCTTGACAGGGATTCAAATCTCCCGCCCGATGGCTGGCAGCCAATCAGGGCGGATGTCCTTATAAGGACATAACAGAAGGCAAACGAAGAAGAACATCATGGCTTTAAAATCTAAGGGAGCAGTTTGGGAAAAACTCAACAGCAGTTTTTTGTGCAGCTGTTGATAAAAATCTGATTGCCAGCATGATTGCCAACGTCCGATGACAAATATGGCACAAGAAGAATAAGATCCTGTCTTGAGTGGATTTCTGCTTGCAGTATTTGCTTTGCCTATGAATAGAGCCATATCTTTATCTCTTAAGTGCTGACATCTGCTGTGGGCTACTAAGGAAGGCGGGGGCTGCTTTCTGTCTCCAAGAGCATGTTTCTCCATTCCTCCTTTAGGGAAATATAATATTCTGCCTTTTTAATATTCCTCAAAATATTTCATTCTTCTAGGAGAGAGCTGGGTGCTAACTTTCTACAATATGGCCTGCAAGCTAGGAAAACCATGCTGAATATCATTAAAGTTTTGATGCCACCAGAATGAATAAATCTATTTACAAACTTTCCTCTCTGGAGAACCCATTAACAAATGTCTCCAAGGAAGTATTTCAACTTATACTTTCTAAATCCCGATTTAGTTAAGTGATTGTCAAGAGGGATATTGCTGCCTAGGCTAGGAGTTAATCATCTGCTAAGTTCATTTTGGGAGAAAGTGTCACAGGATGGAGGAAAATACAAGCATATTCTAGAGCCATCAGAATGCCAGTCAAAAGAAGACTGGATTGGAAGTGGCCATGTGAGGTCTTCCTGCTGAAAGTTTGGGATGTGGAGATGAAAATAGGATCCACTACTTCCAGTCTTCTTCCAGATACAAGCTAGACCTCTGACTGATGATTATCCTAGAGGAATCCTCATTCTTCAGGCCACTAGTTTCTCCCAGTTCATATACCCTTTACAAGAAGGATTTTTGTGATGCTTTTTGTGATGCAGTTGTATATTCATGATTCAGAAGTAGCACAGGAAGCCCTAGGAATTATGATCAGTCTGGAGATTTTTTCCTCCCATCACTTATATCAGGTATGGCCAATAGGAAGTATTCTCTTAACAGAACAGCAGATTTGGAATCTATCTTGGAGGTCTTCTAGTCCAACCCCCTGCTCAGGCAGGAAACCCTCTACCATTTCAGAAAAACACCTGTCCAATCTCTTCTTAAAAACTGCCAGTGTTGGAGCATTCACAACTTCTGGAGGCAAGTTGTTATACTGATTAATTGTTCTAACTGTCAGGAAATTTCTCTTTAGTTCAAAGTTGCTTTTCTCCTTGATTAGTTTCCACCCATTGCTTCTTGTCCTACCCTCAGGTGCTTTGAAGAATAGCTTGGCTCCCTCTTCTTTGTGGCAGCCCCTGAGATATTAGAACATTGCTATCATGTCATCCCTAGTCCTTCTTTTGATTAAACTAGACAAACCTAATTCCTGCAACCGTTCTTCATATGTTTTAGCCTCCAGTTGTCTAATCATCTTTATTGCTCTTTTCTGCACTCTTTTTAGAGCCTCAACATCTTTTTTATATCATGGTGACCAAAACTGGATGCAGTTCCAAGTGTGGTCTTACTAAGGCATTATAGACTGGTATTAATACTTCACGTGGTCACAGTCAGAGGAAGAGATGTAAAAGCTGAGGACCTTAAACTGGGAAAGGAACTGTTCTAATTCAACTTTGTCCTCAATGGCTTCTAAGCCTACAGCTCAGTGGTATTATAAGCAGAATTTCACCATCCATGATAATTCAGAAATCCGTATGTTATTTGAAGTAGCACAGAAGATGAGGGTCATTCATAGAACCTCAGCAATTGTGTTTTCATGGTTAAATTGATTGGATTGGGAGCAATATTTACTGTATATGTAGAATTTCAGTTCCAGAGAACCAGCTGGGTTCTTCCTTCCAGAAGACATAGACTTCACTAAATAGCTGCCTGAAGAAAGGCTTTAGGTGAGAGCATCATTCTGCCTGTCAGTTAAGAAGGTACGACAACCAACAGCTTTGGAAGCTTCAGAGGAGAAGGGTGCAAAATTCAATCAATAGAAGAGAGTGCAGGACATTTCACATCAATGTCATCTAAGAGATTTCATCTTATTATTGCAAGCTCTACTTGACTTAAAAGAAATGTCTCTTATGGTCAATGTGTTTTACTTCTACCAATAGAAGAACTGAAAACCACTTGTGGTAAGTTAAAAGAGTTCCTGCATGGATCTCTCAATTTTTGTGTTTTTGAGCTTTCCATATTTTGTTGAATGTACATTACTTAGAGAATACTTTGTTTGGCCAAGTGTGATTAGACACAAGGAATTTATCTGAGCCACGGTGGCACGGTGCTTAGAGTGCCGTACTGCAGGCTACTTCCACTGACTGCCGGCTGCCTGCAATTTGCAGTTCAAATCTCACTGGCTCAAGGTTGACTCAGCCTTCCATCCTTCCGAGGTGGGTACAATGAGGACCCAGACTGTTGGGGGCAATAGGCTGACTCTGTAAACCGCTTAGAGAAGACTGGAAAGCACTGTGAAATGGTATATAAGTCCAAGTGCTATTGCTATTGCTATTTCCAGTGTAGAAGCTCTCAGTGTGTTGATATACTATGTCCTTATATCCTTTATATAAACAGAAGTATCTTCATATACTTCTATATAAAGGCATTCATGCTAGAGTTTTAATATTATAGACAGTCTTTGAGCATGAAATATGGAAAGGAATATGAGCCAGCCATTTGCAGCAGCTGCCAAAAAAGCCTACACATCAACAGAGGGATAGAATCAAGATCACATGAAGTGTTAATACCACTTTATAGTGCCTTGATAAGGCCACACTTGGAATACTGCATTCAGTTTTGGTCGCCACAATGTTAAAAATTATGTTGAGGCTCTAGAAAGAGTGCAGAGAAGAGCAACCAAGATGATTAGGGGACTGGAGGCTAAAACATATGAAGAACGGTAGCAGGAACTGGGTATGTCTAGTTTAATGAAAAGAAGGACTAGGGGTGACATGATAGCAGTTTTCCAATATCTCATGGGCTGCCACAAAAAAGAGAGCATCAAGCTATTCTCCAAAGCACCAGAGGGTAGGACAAGAAGCAATGGGTGGAAACTAATCAAGGAGAGAAGCAACTTCGAACTAAGGAGAAATTTCCTGACAGTTAGAACAATTAATCAATGGAACAACTTGCCTCCAGAAGTTGTGAATGCTCCAACACTGGCAGTTTTTAAGAAGAGATTGGATAACCATTTGTCTGAACTGGTGTAGGGGTTCCTGCCTAAGCAGGGGGTTGGACTAGAAGACCTCCAAGGTCCCTCCCAACTCTGTTATTCCGTTTTTTCTGAATACTTTGAGTGAATATCACATAACAGCAGCAATGCCAGCAAGTTTTTGTTTTATTAAAAACCACACATGCATCCATTGACTGAAAAGGAGCGATCCAACCAAAATGTCTTCTTTTGCAGAGTCACATTCTGAAGGACAGGTGATTATCATTACCCAGGTTGTGCTCCTTGGGAGAAGGCATTTCAATGTTGGTGCATTTCTATGAGAAGAAGCCCGATGGAGTAGACCCCAGTCTCTTGGCTTCAGGAGGCTGTTTCTGGCACTCTTTGGTGAGAGGTCTCCAGGTTTGAACTTGGGACTCAAGAGAAGAAGGTAAAATATATATATTTAAGGGCACCAATCTGCAGTGAGTTTTTTCTTGGCTTGATTTTTCTCCACTAGCAAACTCACGATGGGAACTGGGATTCAGAATAGCACGGCAGAGGTGAAAGAGTTCATCTTAATTGGCTTCCAACTACCTAGGGCCATGGAACTCTTCCTTTTTTCATGGCTTCTGGTTGTGTTGTTTTTCACTTTGGCTGGGAACCTCATGATTATCACTCTGGTATGCGTCGACCAACGTTTGCAAACCCCCATGTATTTCTTCCTCTGCAACCTCTCCTTTCTGGAGGTATTTTTCGTTCTGACAATCACACCGAAGATGTTGACCAATCTAGTTTCCCTGAACAAATCGATCTCTTTTTGGAGCTGCATCATTCAGTGCTATTCTTACTTCTTCTTTGGTACCTGTGAGATCATCATCATTGCCGTGATGGCCTTTGACCGCTACATTGCTATCTGCCATCCATTGCGCTACACCATCATCATGAATGGGCGGGTCTGTGTGAATTTGATATTGGTGTGCTGGGTTGGCGCTTTCCTGAATAACCTTGGCCCCATTGTTCTCCTGAGCCGACTGTCCTTCTGCAGCTCTAACATGATCGATCATTTCTTCTGCGACTATGCTCCACTGATCAAGCTTTCTTGCAATGATGTAGATACTCTTCTGATGCTGGAATCTAGCCTCTCTGCTCTGGTGTTACTCAGCTCTTTGTGTGTAACTGTTGTCTCTTACCTCTACATAATTGTGACTGTGGTGAGGATGCAGACCAGTGGCAGTCGTAGGAAGACTTTTTCAACCTGTGCCTCTCACCTCACGGTCGCTTCCATCTTCTACGGCAGTGCCATCTTCATGTACTCTTTGCCCAGCAAGGGTCGATCTCGGGATGCTCAGAAAGCTGTGGCAGTTCTTACTGCTGTGGTTACCCCCTTACTGAACCCTTTTATTTACACTTTGAGGAATGAGAAAGTCAAGGATGCTTTCCGAGACTGTTTGCAGAGGCACAAACGTATTTTGTGAGGAGAAATCATTGGAAGGACTTTGTCAACCTTGGCTGAGCTCATACAAATGTAAACAGACTTGGATTTTATTAATATGTGGATGAGAGAACCATCATCTACTGCTGTAGTGAGGGGTACATGACATAGACTTTGTAATTTGTTAGTTAACATAGTTATTTTGTATTTTAATTTGACTTATTTTCTATGTTCAGGCTCATTATAGACTGGAAATGTAGGAAAACCTTTATCGTATGGTTGTATGGATTGATTAGATAGCTTTTAACATTCATAAAGTGAAACAATAATTTACAGAAGGATGTCTGGAGACTTTCTCCTGATAAGAAAAAAATTCGGGTTTTTTTTTTTGAATTTTTTTTTTTTTTGAATTTTTTAAAACATAAACATAAAATACATCTTTTAAGAACAAAGCATTGATCCGGTCAAAAATAGTTACAATTGCTTTCTCCTTTTTATCAAGCTTTTCCCCAAATCTTCACCATTACATCTTTCAAAATACAAACCAAAGCAAAAAAAATTTTCCCCACAATTATAATATCTTAATCTAACCACTCTATTATATCACCACAATCTTAATTTCCAATGGCACAGCTCAATATTTAATTACTATTATTTATCCTAAATTCTATCTAATACACATCCTATGACCCATTACATTAAATCTTCAAATCCTAATCTCTTTTAACTAACACCTATATTTTTTAGGCTTATCTCACATTGTGCTCTTCATTATACACAGAATCATTTCATTATTACAATCTTATCATCTTCATTTTATTATTCATATCAACATAGTCACCTTTATTTTGATGCTAATCCCAACATAATCATTTTATTATTACTATCAATTCCAACTTAAATCATATTTATTTTAACTATCCCTTAGTCATTTTCTTTTGGCTGTTTTCCAGCATATTCATTTATTATTTGGCTGTTTCCCAGCATATTCAACTTTATTTTACCTTCATACCCAGTATACACATCTCCATCTATTATTTTGGCTGCTTCCCAGCATATTCATCTATTATTTGGCTGTTTCCAGCATATTCCTAAGGTCAACTGGCACTTGGTTATCTAACTTCAAACAAGCTTTGTAGCTAATTTACTGTGCAAGGAGGGGTTACTCTTATCTTGTCCAAGCAATTTTCCTCTTTTGTTTTTCTTTGTTGTGTTAACTACAAAAAGGAATGTAAGATGGATCTAAAGGTTCTCTTTTTCATAGGGAGATCCCACGTTATCAGGGTACCCTAATAAAGTGCTTTTAAATTATCTTCCGATTTCGTTGTCATTATTGAGAAGCTAGTTAACAAAGTCACAAATGCGGAGGTGATAAGCCTCCTGGGAAAGCAAAAGGAAATCATCAAAGCCATTAAAAAGCAAAAGTTAGAATAGTTTGGACATGTGATGCGGCACCCAGAAAAATACGGCATCCTTCATTTAATCCTCCAGGGAAAGATTGAAGGCAAATGAGGTCCAGACAGAAGAAGAACATCAGGGCTTCAAAACCTAAGGGACTGGTTTGGACAAAACTCAACAGCACTTTTTCATGCGGCTGTTGACAAAAATGGGATTGCCAACATGATCGCCGACATCCGATGATGGATATGGCACAAGAAGAAGAAGATTGACAAGGTAAGCCAAGGCAAAAGCTAGGGCCAGATTTGGCTATCACTAGTCTAGACTGTGATCTCGAAAATAGATTCCAGAAGAGCAAGGACTTCTGAGCTGCTCCTAGGGAACAGCATGGGCAATGACCACAATTACATCAGGGGTTAAATTTTGTGAAAGTATGATTGTCAGGTTATCATGGATAGTTCAGGGCTTGGAAACATAAAATGTATGTACACTTTTATTAACAGTTGCGAAACTGTTGCCTTTCTTTTTCTATTTCTAATCCTGATCTTGACTGAGGATTAGCACTGAAATTCTCCTCTGTTGGGACTACAATTCTCGTTTGACTGTTTGCATCTAATGCTTTATGATGAGTGTATTTTTACAATGATTATGATAAAGATCTATTACTATTGTTGTATGTACAGTACACTGAAAGCTTATGCACTGGAGACAAATTCCTTGTATTTCTAATCTTGCCAATAAAGAATTCTATTCTATTCTATTCTATTCTATTCTATTCTATTCTATATTCTATTCTATTCTATTCTATTCTATTCTATTCTATTCTATTCTATTTCTCTATTGTAATTACTAAGCAGGTATATACAAAAGTATGAAGGCTATTGCTTAACGCATTGTAAGCCACCCTGAGTCTCCAGAGAATGGCGGCATATAAATTGAACCAATCAATCAATCAATCAATCAATCAATCAATCAATAATTCTCTATTATATTCCATTCCATTCCATTGCATTCCGTACTATTGTCTATTCTATTCTATTCTATTCTATTCTATTCTATTCTATTCTATTCTATTCTATTCTATTCTATTCTATTCTATTCTATACTTTCTACTCCACTCCACTCCTCTACTTCTTCTCTTCTCTTCTCTTCTCTTCTCTTCTCTTCTCTTCTCTTCTCTTCTCTTCTCTTCTCTTTCTCTTTCTCTTTCTCTTTCTCTATTCCATTCCATTCCATTCCATTCCATTCCATTCCATTCCATTCTGTACTATTGTCTACTCTACTCTACTCTACTCTACTCTACTCTACTCTACTCTACTCTACTCTACTCTACTCTACTCTATTCTTACATCTCAGCATCTCTTGTTTGATCTTTCTCTTTTCCTGGCTCTTACTTTCTACATTTCTATTAGAGGAATGTAACTGTTGACGTAGTCTCTCATGTATGTATAAGTATACAACATTGCCTTTGTTTGTCAGAAGGTCACAAAATGTGATTACATGGGCCCGAACACTGCAATGATCATAAATATGAGTCAGTTGCCAAGTATCTGAATTTTGATCATATGACCATGGGGACATTGCAATGGTCGTAAGTATAAAAAAACGGTCATAAGTCACTTTTTCTTAGTGCTGTTGTAACTTCTAAGTGGTCACTAAACAAACTGTTGTAAGTCGAGGACTACCCGTATTTTCACCCCTGTAATATGAAACTGTCATCTCATCCTTTTGAAAAACATCCTTTTGTGTTGCAGTATCAATACTCTTTGGTATTGGTGGGCAGGCCATGTTGCAAGGATGCCAGACCATCGCATCCCTAAACAGCTTCTCTATGGTGAGCTGTCTCAAGGAAAGCGATTGCACGGAGGACAAAGGAAGGGATACAAAGATACGCTGAAAGCCTCCTTAAGTGTTGTGGCCCGCCAGTGGCCTGCACGGATTGTTGCTGATCCTGACGACAAGGAGGCTGGTGTGATGCTGCGCCAGCAGCCTGTGCAGCTGGCGCTTGAGTCAGACAGTGAGGAAGCTGAAGAAAATGTGGTGCCAGAGGCAGGGATTCAGTCAGGGCCTTCAGAACCTCCATAGGCTCCTTTAAGTGAAGAGTACGAAGAGGAGGAGCCTCTTCTCAATGCACGGGCACGCAGAGCTGCCAAAAGGCAGGAGTGGTTCCTCAGGAGGAGGTCTCCTCGAGAGTAAGGCTTGGGGCTAATTGGCTACGCCCTTAGACTATTTAAGAAAGAATGCAGCTTGTAACAAGCTGCAGGAAACAACTTTAGTTCGCTAATCATCACGTTGGGATTTCTTTGCAACTTTGCTTCTGGGTTTTCTGCCAACTCCAGTAAGATTCTGACTATCTTATCTGTGGAATTCTGGCAGGTTGTTAAGAATGCTTATTAACAGCTGTCATTTGCTAAAACTGCATTATTTGAGTAAAGTTTTGTTCAGAGTTTGTGTGATCTGTGTTCTTTGGGATCCGTAGCTGGGGAAGAGCATTAAAGTTCCTGGATATCGACACCACCTCCTTGGGAAACCCTGGCACAAGATCGATCGACATGGCGCACGCTGATCCACCAAGGCTGCCAGACATCAGAGGACAGAAGAACAACCACAGCACAAGACAAGCGAGCACTCCGCAAAGCCAGAGTTGCAAATATTGCAACAATGGTGCCCACACATGTCTGCCCGACATGTGGCAGAACATTTCATGCCCGTATAGGCCTTACCAGCCACCTGCGGACACATCATGGATAGCCCACAACCTGTTAGATGTCAAGGTCCATCTTCAAACACAATGTACGAACCTCATCAATACTGTTTAAGAATCTTAAAAGTAAGACAAATAGTTGATATCAAGGGTGAAATCCAGCAGGTTCTGACCGGTTCTGGTGAACCGGTAGTGGAAATTTTGAGTAGTTTGGAGAACCGGCAAATACCACCTCTGGCTGGCCCCAGAGTGGGGTGGGAATGGAGATTTTGCAGTATCCTTCCCCTGGAGTGGGGTAGAAATGGAAATTTTGCAGTATCCTTCACCTGGAGTGGGGCAGGAATGGAGATTTTGCAGTATCCTTCACCTGGAGTCGGGTGGGAATGAAGATTTTGCAGTATCCTTCCCCTGCCACGCTCACCAAGCCACACCCACAGAACCGGTAGTAAAAAAAGAATTGAATTTCACCACTGGTTGATATTTTCATAGTTACTGTATATGATTCTCATAGTTATACGATAAATATTTGCAAACGAGGAACAGAATAGAACAGAACAGAAATGGTGTAAAAAATAGTTGTGGGTATTTATTAATATGCAAATATGGAAGCTGGGGCAAACAGATAAGATGTTGTGTCCAGACACGGACCGAAACTTTTCGACTCCTTGTAGCAGGCTTCCAGTGGAGAAAATGTCACATATTTCCTACATCTGTTGTGACATTCCACGTGGATCATACACCATCCATGGTTCAAGGCAGCACTGCTTTTCACCGTTTCTCCAATCCCGTCCCTCTCTTCCCAAAACACGAAAGTCTCAATGTTTGCTGTGAGAGCTGTCTTCTCCGTTACTTCCTACCGTCAGCAACATAAAGGGATGAGATGGCAGAAGTGGATGACGAGATTGGGACTCATGGATTTCTTAGAGGAAGATTTGCATTCAAGTAGAAAATTAATTCGCTGTGTTTTAAAATACAGCCAATTTATTTATTTATTTATTTATTTATTTATTTATTTATTTATTTATTTATTTATGATTTAGGCATATATGCATTTTTTAAATTTATTTATTTATCTATTTATGATTTAGGCATATATATATATATTTAAAATAAATTTATTTATTTATTTACGCATATGTGCATTTTTAAAATTTATTTATTTATTTATTTATTTATTTAGGCATATATGCATTTTTAAAAATTATTTATTTATTTATTTATTTATTTATGGTTGATTGATTGATTGATTCATTGATTTAGGCACATATGCATTTTTAAAATTTATTTATTTATTTATTTATGATTTAGGCATATATATATTTTTAAAATAAATAAATTTATTTATTTATTTAGGCATATATGCATTTTTAAAATTTATTTATTTATTTATTTATTTATTTATTTATTTATTTATTTATTTATTTATTTATTTATTTATTTATTTATTTATTTTATATAGCCGCCCATTTTATAACCATTTCTGGGTGGCATCCTATCAGTGGTGAAATCGGAATCGGTTTACTACTGGTTCGCTGTAGTAACCGGTACATGTTTGTAAAAAAGCATTTTTTTTTTTTACAACCTATTCGGCCAAATAGGTTGTAAAAAAATGCTTTTAAAAGCAAAAAAAAAAAAAAAGGCTTTGATGATCAGGCAGCTCAGCTGGGATCATCAGAGCCTTTAAAAGAAAAAACTTTTAAAAGCATTTTTAATGGAAATTAAAAATGGAACATGCACACAATGTTTTTCTCCGTCTTTGGGTTTAGGTTTATTTAGGTTTAGGTTTATTTGATTTGTATACCGCCCTACTCCCGAAGGACTCGGCGGTGAACAGCCAACAATAAAATACATAAATACAAAAAATTTAAAAACCAGATAAAATCAAATTAAATCATTTTGGCCCAGACAGATTAAAACACCCCAATAATTTAAAAACAGATTAAAATTTACATATTTAAAAAGGGAAGAAATTAGGCCAAGCCCGCCTGATGGAATAAAAAGGTCTTCACAGCATGGCGGAAGGAGCGCAGATCCGGGATCCTCCGTATCTCCGGGGGGAGCTCATTCCAGATGGTAGGTGCCCCCACAGAGAAGGCTCTCCCCCTTGGTTTGACATCAATAGTAGGAGACACAAAATATTTGATACAGATTCCTTGCAATGCATTACTTTGCTCCTTGAGACATCCCTGAGGGATCTTCACAAGCCAGTCCTGAATTCTTCTTATACCCCAGACTTCAGTATAGTAATTCGCTCTATTGAGTATGAGAGGTTGCTTCTGTGTTCATGGCTATGAGAAGATATTGGAAGACAAGGGGGTCCATCCATGAGCCAAGAAGATGAGGCGTCTTTTCAAAAGCCCTGCGAATGGAGAATGCTATGCTTCCCAAACATTGAATTAAGGGGTAATATCTTCATAAATGCTTTTGTTTTGACTTGTAGGCATAATGAAAGATAGATTAACCAACTAGAAAATGCTTCTATTAGCAGAAATTAAATGAGACAATAGCATAGAACCCTGAAAATGATAGGAATACTTTTACATAAATTACAAGGGGTGAAAATACTTTGTGTCCTAAAAATAAGTTGGGAAGCAACATTTGATAGCTGATTTTTTTATTTTGCCTTGGATTTCTAAACATCTATTATCAGCAAAAATCAGATGATAAAAAGCTTTGAGATATTTTTTAAAAAATATTGTTTGCAAGGGGTGAGTTCTTTTGCAACTTTTTCATGCTTTTTCTCTCTTCTTGAGAGCTGTGACCTGTAATATTACTGTGTAAAATTAAGAAATATTTTGCATAGTTCAAAAGTGAGAGATTAAGTAAGGTGGTTTCTAATGTATATTGTTGGGGTCTGTTTTATAAACAAGCATAAATTAAATTCGATCCCAATAATTCATAGGGGAATATAATACAGAACTCAGTAGCACTTGGTCTACATGTCAGCTTTAATCATAGTTTTAAATTAAGCCAGGATTGGTGGAAGTACACATGCCATAACGCAGGATTTACAAACCACCAATGCCTACTGCAAGCCACATATAAGGCACATTATGGCTAAGTGCAACATATCTTGTTGTTATTCAAAACAATCGTTATGTTTCTTTCATGAAGTTACATTGTGAGGCTGAAAACAGAAGGCAAGTCGTTCCACTGAGGAATCGTTCTTATTGTCAGGAAATTCCTTCTTAGTTCTAGCTTGGTTCTCTCCTTGATATGTTTTCATCCAGTGTTTCTTTTTTATATATATAAAAGTTTTTTTTATTTTTTAACAAACATACACAAACAAACAAACAATGCATTTTTTTCTGAACAGAGTATTGGCTGAGTCACAAATTTATACAGCTTTTAGTTATCTCCAACACAATTTGTATACTTCACTTTTTGCATAATATTCTCTCTCTCTAATTTTTCTTTTCTTTTCCTTGTTTCTTCTGATATATAACCAATATTACCATTCGCCCTAATCTCTAATCTTAGTCAATTTTGTTTCTTCTCCTTTTGTTGCTTTCTCCAAGTTCAAACCCTTTAATTTAAAATCAGTCATTTTTCTAATACCTAACCCTAACTCTAAATCATCCTGTTCAAATATTTCGATCCATTTCTCCCTTTTCACCACATAATACAATTTCAAGTGTTTGTCCTAAATTCTATTATTCCAATCACAAATATTAATATTCATACAATTTTACATATATAACCCATTTCCTTCCCTCTTTTCCATTTCTTTCCTTTATCACCTTATCCAAATACTACAATCAAATACCTTGCTACCATTCACTTAAATATATAACATTAAAATCATTCGTTTCTATTTCTCAATTTCCTTTGTTTTTTTACAGTAAACCCAATTTTCCAATGCTTTTTCAAATATATATATATTATCTTCACCTCTTCATAGTAAACCATAATCATAATTTAATATTTCCCACTCTTAAAAGCTAATTTCAATTTTTACCAACAGTATCTTAATCTCTTCTTATTAAACATTAAACAAACTTAATTTTCACAATACAATTTCCTGTCCTGCCTTCAGGTGCTTTGGAGACTGGCTTGACCTCCTGTTGTTTGTGGCAGCCCCTCAAATATTGGAACACTTCTATCGTGTCACCCCAATCCTTCTTTTCATTACACTAGATGTACCCAATTCCTGAAACCGTTCTTCATATGTTTTAACCTTCTCTCTCTCCCTCCCTCCTCTCCCTCCCCCCTCTCTCTCCCTCCCTCTCTCTCGCTCTCTCTCTTTCACATACACACACACAATCATCTTTGTCAATTCACATTGGTTTTGTTCACATTCATCTATTCACATTGGTTTTAGGTAAAGGAATCAAAAGAGAATTTGGATCCATCTCAGAAAAATAGTTTGGAGAACATTGAGCAAAGGTGAAATAACCCCCAAAAATCACCATCCAGAGACAGATCTTTGCATGTCCACAAAGATGAATTGTTTTTGGCACGAAGTGGTTCCAGGTAGCTCCACTTGGATTAACCACACCCAGAATTAGTCTACAAGGAAGAACGACCCTACTTAGAATAGGATATGAGAAGAATCTTGCTCTGATTCAAACCATCGGATTTTAACGTCTCATTGATTTTAATACAAAGAATGGATACTGATAAAACGACGCTCATTTGAAACATGATTAAAAGAAGAAGAGAGATTGGAAGTTAATACATTCATGCTGTTTTTAGGAATGGACTGATGACAAATTGGACCACAGTAAGGGAATTCATATTGTTGGGGCTGACTGACAACTTTCCCCTTGAAGTTAGCCTTTTTCTCCTCCTGTTCGGAATTTATCTTTTGACTTTAATAGGAAACGCGGTGGTTATTATTATGACACAGGTGAATGTTCAACTCTGTAGCCCAATGTATTTCTTCCTCCGATATTTGGCATGGGTAGATATTGGGTATATGAGTACTGTAATTCCCAAAGCACTGGTCAACATAGCTACTGGGAGTAAGAGCATCTCTTTAGCTGGTTGCTTCATACAGATATTTCTTTATTTGGTCCTTGGTACCACTGAATTCCTCCTACTGGCTGCAATGTCTGTTGATCGGTACATAGCCATCTGTAACCCTCTTCACTATCCAACCATCATGAATAACCAAGTTTGCTCATTATTGGTATTTTATTGCTTGGCAGGGGGGATCTCACTAAGTCTAGTTGTATGCATTCCTTTATTTCTGATGCCATTTTGTGGTCCTAATGTCATGAATCATTTCTTTTGTGACAATGGACCTCTAATGAAACTGGGATGTGCTGACACCAGCTTTCCAGAAATGATTATTTTTTTGGTTGCCATATTCTCTCTGCTTGGGACCTTAAGTGTCAACCTTGTGTCTTACGTCAAAATCATTTCCACCATTCTGCGCATCCCATCCACTACAGGGAGGAAGAAAGCCTTCTCCACTTGTGGTTCCCACATGACTGTAGTTACCATCGCTTACAGCAGCTGCATTTTCATGTACATCAAGCCGAAAGGCACCAGCGGATTAGACTACAACAAAATGGTGGCTCTTTTGAACACAGTTATGGCACCTCTTCTCGTCCCAATCATATACTGCTTGAGGAACAGACAAGTGCAAGATGCTCTGAGGGCTGAACTGAGACACAGGATCGGTTTTGCAAAAAAATGAGATGATTTGCTATCGATATGATTGGTTCAGATTTCATGTCTTAGAACGCATTGTTAAGCTATAGCATGTGCTGCCTTCAGATGTCATAATCACCCACAGAGATGCTCTTACAAGGGGACTTGAGAATGGATAGAGGATGAGGTAATCAGGGATGGAAACATGTGATTGACATCAAAGGCAGAATCCCTGAAAAATTGGTTGCAAGTGAAGAACAATGGAAAAAGACAATTGCCCACCTCTTCTCATTGTCAATTTACAACACACATCTGGTTGCAAAACATACAGCTCCCCTCTGCTAATTGTTTCTTGTATCTAAGTATGTTTTATTAGTAGGCCCTTTGTGCAGATCATAGGTAATATGATACAATAAGAGATTTGGTTTTGGTTCATGTATGGAGTCAATATTGGTGAATGTGGCTATTCCTCTTGAAGTTTTATCCCATCTAGAATAACGGAAGTGGGGAATGGAGGTGTGTGATTATGGAATATCGTCAGGCAATGGTCCTGAATAAACCTGAATATAACAGAAAATGCATAGCGAACACATGAAACGTGAAATCCCGGGCTAGAGAATGTAGAAATTAATGTTTGTAAGCTGCCCACAGTCACCTCAATATCATATGGGGAGCAAATGGGTTTAATAAATAAAATGAATAAAACAAGTTCCTAACAACCTGGTTTTGTTGATTAATTGAAACCAACCCACAATATTATGTCTCTCATTTAGCATCTCGTTTCTCAAGACCTACCAAGAACTCATGCAAAGTTGCTTTGGCATATTGGGGGAAAGTTGGCAGACAAGACTGCCGTTCCTTATCTTGCTCACTATGAGTCCTCATTTCCAGACCCCCCCCTTTTTGGTATCCAAATATCAAGGAAAGATTGAACGAAGAGGGGAGTTCTTTCCTTTTTCCTTTTTTCTTTTTTTTTTTTTGAAAATTCTTTTTATTTTTTAAAACACAGAAATAGACATACAATACATCTTTTTGGAATTATTGATCAGGTCATAAATTTGTTCAGCTTTTGCTCATCTTTAACAAAATGTTTTATATTATATTTTTGCCATAATACTTATCACAAATCTCAACTATTACCATCTTATAAAAAACCTAAGTCATATTAACTTGATCAAAGCAATAACCCTTCTATTAATCCACCTTAAGTCTTAATTCAATGAATACCTCATAATACATTTCACAATTCTTACCTTAAATACTCACTATTGACAATACAATTCAAACATGTTTATAGTTCTAAACCATATTTCCATTTCTAAAACTTCCTTACTTTTTTTTATTACTTCTTATAATATTCATTAAATCTTTACTTAATTATTACTTCCTCAAATTTAAATCTTATCTCTAATCTTGAAAATATACCAATTTGAAATTTAAACAAAGTTCTTAGTTCAAATAACACAACGTAATACAATTCACAATTATTTCCCTAGATTCTGTCTATTTAACAATACCATTTACTGTATATAAAAATGAGTTACATGAGTCTTATTTAGTAAATCATAATCCTATATCATTTCAGTTTTCTTTTCTTTTTGCTTAAATGAATGTATTATTAAAAATATTCAAATTATTACAATTGTTGTAGGTATTTAAACAATATCCCAATTATTATAGCCATCAATTTCCTCAAATAATATCATCCAACATTTCAATAAAAATTAATTCATTATGTCCATTGATATATTTTCTTTACATAATCTAATTTTTATTTATTTTCGCTTCCATCTATATTTTAATTCTAAGTATCTGTAACATATTTCTCATTTCTATCTTCATTTCTCTCTCCCCTATTTTGCCCTATCTATCCCATTGTTTCCGCTCTCTTTCTTTTCCTCTTATTTTACCATTATTAATCTCAGTATAATCATTAAATCAAAGTCCTGGACTCTTCTATTTAACTCTATATTCCCTAGTATTTTTCAACCTTTTTCTTTTATCATTCCACTGTTAATCCCAGCATAATCATCTTTATTTTTACTGTTAATCCCAGCATAATCATTTTATTTTTACTGTTAATCCCAGCATAATCATCTTTATTTTTTTCCATTGTGAATCCCAATGTAATCTCCAAAAATCTCCTTTTTATTATTACTATCCACATATTCAATAACTTCTTCATATTTAGTCATATTGTCTTTATCTTCTTTATTTTCAATCTCTGAACCTTGCTTCTCCATCTTCATTTTCCTGTCTGCTTGCGTGTGCTCCATTTCAGCTTTTATGTCCTCAAAGTTTAGCCCTCCATACAACATTATAATCATTTCTCTTATTTCCATTTTCCATGGCAGGTACATCAATTTAATAATTTCTCTAATTTCCAGCACCATTTTATTCTTTTTAAATTAGTATTGTTCCGATTATAAAAGTTCCGTTGTATTCCCCCATTTTTTCCCCTCAAAGTCAAGCCTCTTGCAGACAAAGAAATCCTCCCCCAAAAGTTCTCATGGCTCTTATCTGTAAAGTTCACACTTTTCCAAAACAAAGACCAAGTTGCAATTATTCCTTTTTAATCCTGAAGGTGTCTCTCTGCAATCCACAATTACAAAATGTCAAACAAGTATCCATTTTGTTTCAATCTACATCAACAATCTTATTTAGCATCTCTATTTCTTTTTAGCTTTTAAAAATATGAAAACAATTTTATAGTCCAATCCAAATTTAAACAGCTCTTCTCGCTTCTTTTTTCCTCTTTTCTGTTTTAAAGCTTATTTTCCATTCTCTTTATTTTTCTGAAAGTTCGAAAAAGAAAGGATCTACTTATTTCTTTCCGATCCTTTAATCAATCTTGGGGCAATTTCTCTAGTTATTTAAAGTATCCAAATAATTTTGTTCAAAATCCAATTTTCCATCGGGTTTTTATCACCTTAAGATTGCGCTTCAGAGCCTTCTTTTCTTCCCTCCCTGCTCATTAGTCGCTGTTTCATCGCTTGGGGTCTTAAAGTTAAAAAAATGTTTTCCTTATTGTTGATTCAAACCATGGGTTGGCTGTCACTCACCCGGCTTCCAAAAACTCAAGCTTCATAGCAACTGCAATGGCTGCCGTCCCTCACCGCCGAGTCATAGAGAGTTTCCTCTGACCTTCGAGGAACTTGCCTGTTCCTCTTGGTCTTCCGAGGTGCCTCTCTTTCTTCCCCGTCCCTGCAGGACAGTTCTGGTCCGAAGACCCATCGGCAGCAGTTCATCAGTCTGTGTTTTCACGGGGCTCATCAGAACCCACTATTTCCCCGACTGTCTCGCTGCGACGTAAAACCAGAAGACCGAAGAGGGGAGTTCTTGAATGACTCAGAATGCAAGCAAAACTACAGTTAGATAAAAGAAATATGAGTGCAGAGCAAAAATGGACACCGAGTTTCAAGTTCTGGTCATGTTTTGTGATCTTCTGCAATTCTTCCTCAGATATCTTCTGTCTGAATCTACTGGCCAATGGAATCGGAAACGGCCAAGTCAACTTGATTTCCACCATTTTCCATGAGTTTTGCAAATGTATGCTTCTACTTTTCTACTTGAAATTGATTGAGAGAGAACTGATTGGTATTACAGGTAATCCCTGGGATACGAGCATTCCCTTAGTGAATGTTCAAAGTAACACTATTAGACCCCCCCCCAACATTTATGAACAAGGCCTGAAATTATGAATGTTGCAGGACCACAGCAGTTGTTTGCTCTTTCGAATGACCGCAGAGGCTCTGCAACATTAACCCCATCTATCCTCCCCCCCCGTCAAATGATTCGCCCGTGAGAAATGCGGACCGGACGTGCATGTGAACGGCTGGCAGAATGCTTCTGCAGTGAAAAAGGAGGTGCAGAAGGCTGTGCGCGGCCTCCAGGCCTCCTTCCTTGCCTCCAGACCCCTTTTCAAGCCGTTCGCACACACTTCCGGTCTGCATTTTTCACCACCAAAGAGCTTGAAAAGAGCTCCGGAGGCGAGAAGGGAAGCCTGGAGGGCCACGCATGGCCTTCCACGCCTAGTTTTCATCTCCAAAGCCTTCTTCAAGCTCTTTGCTGATGACAAAGGAGGAAGCAAGCAAAGGAACAGGCTGGAGAGGAGACAGATCTTCATAAGGTAAGTCACCAAGCACGGCAGGATGGGAGAGAAAGCATCCTCGAATCGAATGTACGTGAACATGAGTTATCTCGGGGTGGGGAAGCCCATGGGGGGGGGCTAGTAATGGAACAGGCCACCTATTTCAGACCATCCAAGGTCTCCCTCAACCTACAAAAACTTCATTTTCCGTCCCTTGGGTCCCCACAATTGCTTCCTCCCCCATCCTGCCTCACCTGGCAGTTTTGAGCCAAACTTCAAAAGGAATCCAGTTATTTATTAGGAGCTTCATGCTGGCACGTTCCAAAGTGAAGCTAGCTCTGACTCAACATAATTTACGGTCCCAATCATGCCCTTGTTTCCCCCTCCCCCCAGGAATTGCCAACAGGGCAATTTCACGGGTTGTAGAGATCACTCCCCTTCGGCCACTGTAAGTAACCCTGGGATACAGTCTTGAGAGAGATAAGTCTGGAATGTGCATCTGTCTTTGGCTGCCATGCCATTTCATCAGTTCCCATCGCCCCTTTCCTATGGCAATTCGAGAGCAGGCCAGGGATGCTTTGTGAATTGACACCAAGAAGCTTCTTCAGCTCTGACTGGATGGTGGAGAATGGAAGGATTTATACCCCTTGCATACAGCTGGTCATTTGCATTCTTTTAGCGAGTCATTAAAGCCACCTGGAGGTTTATATGAGTCATCTGGGTCACCTGAGTGGTGCAAATGTGTGTGGAGCCCTCTTGGAACTGGTGAAAGGACTGTGTTGGAGACTGGAGATCGGTGATGTCATATCCTTCCCCCTTTGTTGAGAGAGGGCTGTTCAATTTTGACATAGATGGTCTTTTTGACCCCTCTTTCAAATCAGCAGTCCTCTGTGTCCAACCACACCGGCAACAGTTTTGCAATATAAAAGTGTACATGATTGTTTCCAAACCCAGAAATAGCCATCGTAACATGAAAACCATATTCTCACAAAATTTAATTCTGATGTAATTGTGGCCATTGCCCATGCTGTTCCTCTACAGAAGGCCCTGTTGTTCTAGAATGTATTTTTTGAAATCCCAATTTAGACTAGTGACAGTGGGATCTCCCTAGGAAAAGGAGAACCTTGAGACCCATCTTACATTCCTTTTTTATAGTTAACACAACAAAGAAAAACGAAAGAGGAAAATTGGTCGGACAACATAAGAGTAACCTCTCCTTGCACAGTAAATTAAGTACAAAACTTGTTTGAAGTTAGATAACCAGATGAGATAAGTCACCAGAAATCCTTCTGTAAATTATCATTTCATTTTAGTAATATTAAAAGCTATGTAATCGATCTATACAACCATATGATAAAATTTTTCCCACATTCCAGTCTGTAATGAACTTGAACATAGAAAATAAGTCAAATTAAAATGATGTTAACTTACAAATTATAAAACCCATGTCATGTGTCCATCACTACAGCAATAGATGATAGTTGTCTCATCCATCTATATATCTATCTATCTATATATATCTATATCTATATATCTATCTATATCTATCTATATCTATCTATATCTATATCTATATCTATATCTATATCTATATCTATATCTATATCTATATCTATATCTAT